GGTTCGAGCGGGAGGAGTTTATCGGACAGATCAGCGACATCCGAGTTCAGAACCTGCAAGGTAGGAGCATCCCGAGGGTTCTGGTGGGATTACTGCGGGTTGATGGCAGTGAGCCGTGGGAGCTGACCGTGGCCTGGCCACGCGTGCACAACCTCAGTGCAAAGTGTGTGAGCTGCGAGAGCCTTTCACAATCGGACTGTAGGAACTTTGGGTAGTGTTCAGCTGCCGTTCAGCATGTGCAGGAGTCCTCGGTGTGAAACCCTCCAACAGGTCCGCTCTTCGCCACGGAGCCCGGCTGGGGAAAGCTCAGGCCTGTTGGTGCTCCAACCTCGTGATTACCGATTAATAAGTTAGGTTAAAGTGCTCCCACCTCTACGGTGTGAAGACCCGCGGCTTTGTTGTTTGTTTATTGTTGATACTGGCTCCGTCGGTGCAACTTGAACAGCCTATGAATTGCTGTCTGGAGTGAAGCTACAATTCACAAAGACCCGCGGTGCATGTAAACATTTCAAGACTTAATTCAAGAATTACAGTAGCTATAATATCGTTTGTGCTCTAAACATGCAGCAGAATGAACCCATTATTGTCGTCACACTCATTCTGCATATGGTCAGAGACTCCACATGCCCCAGGCTCCACTTCAGGAGTAGGAGGCTACTTGTGCCTCTGAAAGCAGCAGTCCAACATCCAAGCCCACCTCATTCAATATGTTATTCAGCCTCAAGCTTTCTTTTTAAAAATGTCTTACTCAACTAACACATTTTACATGAACGAATACAAGTGCACCACAGTGCATGGCTTCCAGGTGGACCTGTCTGAAAAAGTGTGGGGCTGTTCCCTGTTAGACCACCTGCAGTCTGCTGCTTAATCAACTTAATAACTTAGAGAATATTAAGTCTGTATGTTGTATTGGGTTTACTTCAGAATTTCTCCTGTTACAGTTCAGAATGGGGGGGTTCTTGTTGCTTCCAGTCACAGCTGGTTGTATAAGCATGTGAGCATGAATTTGTGAGCTAGTTGCTGATGATCAGTGATGGTTTTCTTAGCCACCCACCCACTTCTAGACCTGCTCTGTGCCTGCGTTTCATTCTGCTCTATTTTCTTCTCCTGTGGGTGTATAAACTGTTCTTTCTGCTTCTCCTCCAGTGGCAACTTGGAAGAAACCTAACTCACCGTTGGTGTTAGTGATGAGAACAACATCTTTGCAATGATGCCTCTTAGTCACATAAGAGCCAGAGAAAAACAAAATTAACTAAAAAAAAGCAACTGACTTCATTTGAGCAGGGATGTAAATTTGTGTTCTTTTTTTGGGGTTTGGTTTGGGGGGGGCACGTGTGTGTGAAAATATTCTAAGCTTCTAAACGTTTACTTACTGGCTGTGTTGTGAGCCTTTATCACAGACTTTTTTGGAAAAAGGAACTTGCTCACTTGACAAACTATCTATAGGCTACATCATTTTCAACAGTTTTCTCAGCAATGTAACGTCTTCCCTGTTTTTCCAGTACAGGAATTTGAGTGAAAATTAAATAGCTTATTGTTATTATTAATTTTGAAATGAATGCTGCATTAACTAACTTCCCCCTCTAATTTTCAACTGTTAAGGGTGAAATGAGAGTTAAAACAAACTCCAGTAGTATCCGCTCCTCTTCGCCATCCTGTCCCGTCTCTGAAACTACATCATATGTGGTCACGACAGCCGGAGACAGTTGTGGGAGTCGGGTAGCACAGTTATACAGAGGAATGTTTTTTCCCAGTAATACTGATACAGTGCCAATATTCCGGCCACTATCACATTACGTTCACTCTTACATAGTTGATGTACATAATGTTTTAAGGTAACCGTGAGTTGCACTTTGATAGTTTTCTAGCTGTGTTGATGGTGTGAATATTAACAACATCTCACTAAAATGCTACATGGACTACAGTGTTATGTCCGACATAGATAAACCATGTGGCCTGGACCAAAACCTAGCAACAGTTAGCAAAATGACTTCATTTGCTAATACAGGAAAACTGCTGGTTTCCGCTAACTGGACAACAAAACACTAATGTTGCAGTCATTTGGAATGACTCCAAATTACAACCAGAATAATTCAATACAAAGGTACAAAACTGAAATGCTAATGTTAGCTTGCCAATGATGCTGACATATACACGTTAGCCGGCTATAGTACTTGTGCTCTAGCAGAAGATAATGTTACATTTGAGTCCTTTGGGTGCTTTTAGTGCTCTCCATCTCCAACATGCTGAACCACTGTCAACCCTGGTTTAGCCAAGTTCTTTGTCGCACTCTTTCTGTGCTACAGAGCTCGCCCTCTTGGGTCTAACTGGTCTGCTCCCATCCTGGCTAGCACCTGCACAGGGAGCCTCCACGGTCCATCTTTGTAATGAGCCAAACTGGTTTGAAAAAATGTATCTTATAACATTAGGTCAGCGGGAGTGTGGAGGAAGTGTGGTGCGGATTTTAACAACAGTGACCACAGAGGGGTAGAAGTAAACACAAAGCCTGAAGATAGCACAGTGGGGTGGGTGTGGGGGTTGGTAGAGCAGGGAGAAAACACTTCTTGACATTTTTTTTTTTACTTAGTTTATTCATGTTTATGCTAAATCTTAGTTAATGCTATTTAATTATCAATATATTACCTTAATGCACCAGATCGGCCTAGCTAGACTCCAAGGACGACTGTATAATTAAACACAAGTTTTTTTTACACATTTGCAGACCATGCGGGAGCTCAACCATGTGGGCCAACTTTTAAATAATCAACAGCAAATTTAGGATATGACACAGATGATCCTAGTGAACCAATAACATTGTCTTGAATTGGTCGGGGTTTATTGCATATTGTCAACTCTCTGCTCTGCTGTTTGAACTTTACTGAACCTGGAAAACGTGGGGAAATCTAATATATTGTAAGTTTGCCAAACAGGGCTTTACAGAGATTAGAGGAGCCGTCTAAGTGCAATTGCTTTTTAAAGTGGAAGTAATTGATTTAATGAGTTTGGGGAGAAAGAAAGCTTTGTTCAACTCTGACCCAGTTCATCCCAAAGCCTGTAGCACAACAGCAGGCATCTCCTAAAACATTGAAAGCATCACTTCATGGGGACTACTAGAGGAATAGTGTAACAACGTCCTGAAATGGTCAGAGGTCATGTAAGACTAAACTCCTATATCTAGGAACTAGAGATGCACCGATTGACTGGTGGAGATCAGAAATAGCCAGTTCTGAGTGTGATCGCTCTTGACCTGTGACCAGTCGAACAGTATGAGATTTCTAATTTTGTGCCAGTACAGTGCACAAGCAGTGACACATACTAAAAGCATAGTGTATGCAGTGCGTAGCATTTTGCATGCTCCTTGAGCGAGGTTTGCTCATGTGTCTTTACTAGGTCTGTGTTCACTTGCGCATTGGAAGTGTTTGGTGAACAAAGAGCGCCTAGAGGAGTGATAAACACCTTGGAGGAAAGAAAACTATGTCCAAATCTCCAACACATACTGCACAATGAGGGAATTACTGGCTACACATGAAATGCATGTGTAGGTACAGTGTATCCAACCTGTGCTAAAACACAGCAGATACAAACTGCACACATGAAAAAGAACAGTGTGCTCAGTAGTAACAGACATCCTCCCGTTTCTGTTACCCGCTGCACCTGTTTATATTTCGAGAAGTACAAATATTGTACTTCATTTTAGTTTTAGTAGAGAAAATGTCAAATTTTATAATGCTTTACTTTTATTACAGTTTAATTTTCCATTAAATTTACAAAAATGTTTATGTATGCTGTCAATTACAGTTCTTAGAAAGGAACAAAATCAGAATCGGCCCCAGCGAGAGCCAGGGTCTGTCGAAAAATGTTATTTTCAGGACGTTTCTCCTCCCCGTAGTCGCCAAGTGCTGCTCAACAGGATTTGTTGGGTTTTCCTTATAGTAGTAGTGATAATATTAAAATCTAGAACGTACTTTGTAAAGCGTCTTGAGATGACTTTTGTTGTGATTTGACACTATACAAATAAAACAGAATTTTTTAATGAAAAGTTTCAATCAGTGCATCTCTAATAGAAACCAGATTTCATTTTACTGTAGGAATAATATCAGTTTGCTCTTTTCCTAATCTCCTGTTGTTGTTGATTTTCAAAGTCAGGTGATTATGTTCTTTTTGCCTGTAGATCTACCCGACAGACTAAAAATCACAGCCCTCTTTTCTATGTCTTTGTGCCGGCGATAACCATGGCCACTGGCTTTATGTTCCTGGGTTGCCCATTCTCATGAACACTATCTCAGGAACGCCTTGAGGGAGTTTCTTCAAATTTGGCACATGTCCACTTGGATTCAGGGGTGAACCAATTAGATTTTGGCCATAACAGGTTAAAGGTCACAGTGACATCACATCTGTCCTATTCTCGGTACTGCGATATCCCAGTAATGTCCCGTTCCTATGAGTCAGACTGGTTGGCAGAGGCATACAACTGTGAAGCGGTAATTCTTTTTTCAGTTTGTAACGGTGCATTCATCCTTTCTTTGGTCACATTGGGTCCAGAACCACAGTTCCAAAATCTAAGATCGCACACATTATGGTCTTACAAATGTGATATGACAGCAGTATTTACTTGAAAGAAGAAATGAAAAGGCTGGCCATTTCAAAGCATGGTCATCACGGCGCCCCAGCAAATCCCCCTGAATGCACTGAACTGACGAGGGGTGTGTCTTAGTGCTAAAGAATTGAGATTTTCATATTTCAGTTAAAATATGTATTGTTTCTTTTGGGTAGTAGTTCACACGGCCTCTCTCTACCTCTGTAAGGAGCTCAGTGTGATGCTTCTCCCTACCTGGCATGAAACACGGTAGGAAGAAGATGAAGGTGGATAAAGTGTCTGTGGAACACAGACGCTGCCAGAGGCAACACACACAGGTGGATCACAGGGAACTGTGGATCCTATTGCACCTCATGAGTAACTCGTGCTCTGGAAACACAGCTGCAAGTTGCAACGCAATCTTGGAAACACAGAAGATAAAAATGTACTGGAATGTGCCACTACTAACTAGTGCACTGTAAAA